TTGGTGCAATAAGATAAAACACGAGGCTTTAAGTGTAGATTCATTATCTGAAAGTTTTATCACAGAAACTTACATCATTCGAATTAATATCGCAACTAAAATACATCCGTGTAAATGACTCCTAACCTGCAATGTTCGTAGCAAGTCTTACTATCTGTATACACACCATCTGTAATATTTTCAAGAAACAAAGAAAAAAATTACAAATAATTGATCTTACTAACATACTATGCTAATTTTTTTCAAGACAAAAAAAATAAATTAAGTTAAAACATATGTTTTTGTAAAATGTATTACGTATTGGATATATGTTATTACATCATGAGTAGATATGCTAAAAAAAAAAAAAAAAATAAATAAATAAATAATAATAATAATTGCCTGAACATAATAAATAATAACATTAAACGAATGCGCGTTTTTAGACTAATTAAACTGGTTAGACCAAGATGTATTTTGAAATATTGTTAGTAGGTGTCCTTCGAGTAATTGACAAAGACCAGTGATCGAATATTCGAATGTCTGATAAAAGGACAACCACGTGCAATGGATATTCGATAATTGCTTAAAATTGTACGTAGAATAAACTATTCACGTGTTATTCGTTATCTTTAGAACCTTTATCCTCGCTTCAAATGAACTATTTTTATTTGTTATTTCATACGTTTGCGAATTGGCGACACTTTAGTGCATCTGTAACGACAAAAACGTTGGCAAGATACAAAGAAAATAATTTTTGTACATGCTACACCTTAAATTAACTTTGTATAGTATTATATTGATATTAAATATAAAACTATAAATAACGCACAAGAAATAAAACAATATTTAAAACTATCTAATCAATCTTATTCATTAAATCTATGAAGTAAAACATGTTTGACAAAATTCTATTTCTGTATGATGTACGAATAAAATTGAACAATTTACGTTTTTATTGAAATATTGATTGTTGAATGATTTTTGTATTTTTGCGTGCGTATAACTTGAACAATTTAAAATATTTATTTTAATAAACTTTAACTAACAATACTTCCGAAACCGGCTTCTGTTTGAATTTAATAATATAAAATATTTTATTTCTTGCCAATACTGCCATTGAACATTTATAATGTGTATAATGTATTACAGTCAGGGGCGCACAGTGGGCTAGAATTCAATTTTAAGCGGCAAAAAATCTAATTTTTTTTAATTTGATTAAAAATAGTCCTTATCAATACGGAATGAAGGATTTTTTTTTTTTTTTTTTTTAAAATGATTTTCACATTTTATTCATCGAAATTTTATTTTTCTCACTATATTATAACTTATAAAATAACATTTGAATTTGAATGATTTATTATATTTTAGTTTATATTATTTCATTATTAAATATATGTACAATTCTTGTTCTCATAAATTTTAACATAGGTATACATTTATATGTAATTTAATATAGATAATAAGTGTTAATTTGAATCAAAATTCGAAGTTGTATCGTTTTCTGATGATTGTGTTTCTTGATTTTCCAAATTCAATAAATATAATGTGTCTGGAGAAAATTTTTCTTTTAAATGGTTTTTTGGTGGACTTAGCTATAATATAAGTGGATCCGAATATATAAGAAGAAAGTGTATTAAGTCTGAATTAGTATTAATACGAAAGGATTTTTTGAAATGATATTCTCGATACCTTAGATAATTTTTATTTAGCTATTTTTGAGCTTCCGATAGTTATCCAATTGGGAGAAACACGTATTTTATAACAATAGAACCGTGTATTAATACTTTGTGCATACTAGGGGGCATCCGATACCATTTATATAAATGCACATAAAGTTCTGCTGTTTCTTTGGCGTAGTTATCAAATTTTTCAAAATTAATGTCAAGACCACTGGAAATCACCGTTAGTATTGTCGAAAATCTATTTATTAAATTAGCGTTTACTTCAGTTATTTCTGATACCATTTCAGAGTCTTTAAAAAATCTACGGGCAAAATTTCCGGTATTTGATATTCCCATACCCTGAACAACTCTATCGACTTTCAATCTCATCTCATTCCATAGTCGATTTTGAATTTCTTTTTTTCTCTCAGCAATTTTTGTTGTCCTACTCATAGTTGGAGTTGATAACTTATATGCTATATGTAAAATGCGTTTTAGAAACTTAATCCACGTATGTATGTAGATAAATCGTATTTTATGTTTTTTATATTTATATCAAAGTTGCACAAGTTTTAAAGGTCATTCATTGCTTTAGGATTACATTGACAAATAAAACATTTTTGTCTTGATGTGTTCGTTAAAACATTAATAACTTTTCCATCAATCATAGTTATAATAAGTGTGTAATTAATGATTAGTGATTTTTCATGATCATGTACTATTTCTGTGGTTTGTATGTTTTCAATATCTTGTTCGATTTTTTGTACTTCTGTTCTAGTTGTTTCTGGAGTCTCTTTTGTATATATAAATTTTATTGGTCTACAGTAGCGAGTAGGCGATGGTTTTGGATTTCCCCACAAAATTATTTGTTCATTATTTTTCTTTTTATTTGCAGTTAATCATAAAGAAACTAAAGAAAATAAGAAACCACTTGCATCTGATTTTCTGTTGTGTTCGGTTTCATTATCATTAGAAAAACATTTATGGTATTCGTTATAGCCTGAGCTTCCATCATAGCCACACTTACATATGAGGTTAATCTATTAATCGTATGGTCTAAAAGATGCTGAAGTGATATAGATGCATCGACTTCACTTACTTTAATTTCATCAGGACAATATCTTATCTAAGCCGAACGAATTTTATCGTATGATGAGTAAATATTAGCTCCCCTTTGTCTCGCTTCCAAACGCATTGTATTATTTGAATCTTTAGTCATTCAAGTATTTATTAAAAACGCGAGGGCTTCGTCTTCTGAATACGGAGTAATTTTATTTTTTTCAAATGATTTATTATAGTTTTCTTATTTTTATTGGACAATTTGGAGAATACTATGTCATTTGCGTGAGAAAATTTGGAGCAGCATGTTTTCCATCTCTATACAAGATAGACTTTGTGGCATAAACTAACTCTTGAGAAGAATGTGAATCTTAATTATTTAGAACGATCACTTTTTTCAGAAAATAATTTTTTAGGCCTACCTTGGATTGTTGATGGTTGATCTATTGATAATTCATCATTATGGGTCATATGAAGAACATTAACCCGTCGTTGGTACACATGTGAGCGGCACGCTCACACAGATAAAATTTTGAGTGTAATTAGTAGAAATGTTATTGAATTAATTTGATACTATTAATACCTTTAAATAACATATCTATAAACATTTACAAAATAAATGATAGCGCTAATTTTCATATTCGATTAGTTATTGCTCGACAAAGTCAAGAATACCGATTGAGTGAGGGTCGCGCTAACCTTATACTACGAGTGCTTTACGCTTTCACACCACGAGCACATGCGTATCCTACTATAACAATGAAAACCAAGCAAATATTTCAAACAGTAAATAGACCTAAGATGATAAATTCAACAATCACTACATTTCTTTTTATATTTAGTTTTATATAAATTTTATTACTTTGTAAATAAATAAAAAAATTTTGAAATAAATTTTAAATTTTTTTAATTTTAATTCATAATCTATAAATATAACATAAAATTACAAAGTACTTTTTAGTAAAAGATAAAAAAATACATATTTCTATACATGATTTGATTGTATTAATTGATCACGCAATTAATAATACCATAAAGAGCGAAATGTGAGCGCAACGCTCAAAGTGCAGCAACCGTGTTACGAATTGTATGAGTACCGTCGATGAGATAAATTCTAATTGCAGGCAGTTATTACTTTTATTTAAAAATTTAGACAAATCTCGTCTTGAATCCCGCCATTTTTTATTTGTGGTTGTACAATGACCCGTAATTTTGCTTTTCAATATATTTTCAATTTTTACGTTTCCCGATTGGCCACCTATCTTATTACGCATGTATGAACAAAGAATGTTGATTGTATAATTTATAATTTATTTAATAATAATTAAATATTTTTTATTGTATTTTCAGTATTCATTTTCCTACAAACAAAATTGCATAACTCAGTTAGGGGCACTTAGGGGCAGATAAAACCACTAGTATTTCATAAAACAGAAGTTAAATAATAAAATAAAATATTTATCAAAGATCTATAAATCTCTATAAATTATTAAAAGTATTTTGAAATTATAATGAACCCATTTTATAGTTAAAAAAAAGCAAATACCATTATTAAAATAAAAAAAAAAAATCAATATTTATGACTTAATATTTTTGAAACTAATTTTAAAATACCTGATATAAGTCTTCGTATGTGTAAATGAAATAAAACTGAAATATATAGGCTTAATGTTCATAAAATACAATTCAACTATGCACTGTATAATACCACAATGTATAGCTAAATGATGGAAAATGAAACACTATCTTATTATTTATATTATTGTTTAAGTACAAAAACCATTGTTAAATACAAATAACCATAATTAATCCTTATCCACAACTAATAATAAATGTTATTTAATAAGTTTTATCTCTTATCTTGGATACTCAGAATTCCTTTTTATGGCTGTTTAAAATTGAATTTCAGCCCACTATGGGGCGGACTGGTCTAGCGGGACACTGGAACAAATCCTGGTGGTCCGTTACAATAAAAGATTAAATGGCCTGATAATATATTAGAAATTAAAAATATAGTATTACGATATTTTAATCGACAAAATTGAGGAAGTGAAGTTATGAAAAAAAAAAACATAATTATGTAAAAAAGGAATTACTTTTAGAGTTAATTTTAATATATAGGTATTATGTTAAAATATGTACTATAACATATAACATATAACAGTATCTATAAAAAAAACATTTGTTGAAAATATTTTTTAAATAATAAAGGTTTTTTTATCATTATTATTATTTTTGCAAACTTATGAATAGGGATCAGAAGTTGTTGAATTTGCATGTTTTTTTTGTACCATTGAATTTATTGCTAAGCGAGTTAGAAATTCATCCCAAGACACTACGAAAAACATATCAAAAGTATCGTATCGTACTCGGGTCACTGGCGCTATCTGTTATGGTCCTCGATATGAGTTAAACGAGGATCTCATAGTCATAGGACTTCAAAATATGAGGAGAGAGAGCTCAAAATATGGTTTCATGCGGTTTGAGCTTAACCGCAAGATCCTATATAGGAAATTATCCGTTCCTCCTCCACGGACAGGAACATCGGTCGTTACCCAGGATTAAGGTAGTAACCAAACATCTGGTTCAGCTTCTGGTCTATCCGGGCTCGCTTGGCTTAAGGTAGTCTTTTCATGTTCCTGCGGAACTCGTGTGTCGTAGCAACCATAACGCCGAGATATTTTTCCTTCGTGATGATGTTAATTATCTCGGGTTGCAAGGTACTCGGGTCCACAATGTCTTCCGTTACCGAACCAGGAAACATTGATGTGCACTTGAAATTCTCGATGGCGAGTGTCATAATGCCCTGTTTGCCCTGTTGATCTGCAAGCGTAAATAAAACGGTTTTTATTTTAACGAAACATAATGTATGTGTAACGATTGCTTTGGAGCAAATAAATTTTTGTTTTCCACGAGGTCAGGAGTTAATCGTTAATGATCGTGAGTTGTTTGTAACAGGCGTTAGGTTTTATTTGTAATAATGCCTATAATCTAATTACCGAAGAATTGTGTCTGCGTCAGGATTGGAAGTTGGTACGCGTCGTCACAGGAGTTTTGCTATCCTTTATTGACGTCGACAGCAGCGACCTTCATCATCGATGCAATTTCACGATTTCTACAGTCCGAATGTGCTGTCCGTTATTGAATTTCGCCGTGACAACACGCGTTTTTCGAGCTCTCGAGAAATCAACGTATTCCAGTGGAAAAAATCGACAATTTTTTGCGCAAGATACATCAAAAGAATACTCAAGTACTACAAACCAGTTAAGATCTCAAGAAAATCGAACAAGGATTGGTGGACTTAGAGCGACATCAAGAATATTCAAGTAAAAAATTAGATTTACCTTAGTTACGTAGACACTACTCCTTTCTGGACGATAACCCCTCTCATTTTTCCAGAGAACGTTCCCACGGCCGTTCTCCATTCTTTGATAAAGGTTTCAACCTTTTCCGTTGAGAAACGGGTCTTCCAGGGGCTTTTGAACCCCTAAAAATAGATATTTCATTAATTTTATACAAAAAAAAAAAAAAAAAAAGGAGGAAAATCAATAATTTTAAAACCGAGGCAATTCGCTAAGATTAAAATCAATTTGTTTATTTAGAAACAATTCTTTGAGGTCTCAATTATAGGGTCCGATTGCTAACGAAATAAATATAATTCGTTATATTAACATTTCGATTAACAGACATATAATTAGACCACCTTACCCGTCCAGATAGGAATAGTAGGCGTTCTTTCAGTAGGTTCTTTCAGCACAGACAACATTAACGATCAAGAAACAATGAAAATTATAGAAGTAAGTTGCTGTTCACATAAACCAGATGAATCAGATAATGCTACAAACGATGAAAGTTTAAGCGAAGAAGAAATAAATAATTTATCTGAAACAGAAGAGCAATCTCAATGCTCTTATGAATCAGATGATTTGAAAAGTCAAGAATAGAAATGGATCAGAAATACATTAAAGAACATATGACAAAATACAATACACAGTAAATTTAAACTCTATTGACAAATCTTGAAAAAATAAATTACGAAGTCCAAGAAATACTAGACTGAGAGTCAAAAAGAAAAGGAATGTTACAACAAAACAAAGAGAAATTACTTTATTTAAATAATGAAATAAACTATAGTATTGGAACATTGAGATACATAAAGATAATTCATGAAAAATTGATTTAAGTAAGTCTTGATCATCTAAAAAGTGTTATTAAAATCGCTTCAATCGAAGCCATATTAAAAGGAAATAAAACCGATCAAACTACACAAACTAGACCTATTTATAGACAATCCGAATATATATAATTAAAATAAAAATAATTTAGTAGCTATTAATATTTTATTTTTTTATGTTCCTATTACCTATATATATATATATATTTGGTGCCTCAGCTAGAATCAAGCAGGAGTAGCCATTACAGTTAGTAGGTGGAAGCGTCGGAAGCGACTACAAATATTTGTTTCTGCTAATGAATAAGACCCCAGGGGGGTACTTTAATCAGTACTACGGGCTTAGCAAACCCAAGGCCCAAGCTGCTCCTTCAAGGCAAGAAGGTTGATCGTGGGGCTGACAACCCCACATCGTAAAAAAATTACGTTAAGAAACTTCTCACTAACAAGCCTCGGAACCCTATGATTAACTTGGACAAAAGAAATGGAACTTGGCCTGGCAAACCTGAAGTTTTAAGATTCGGAAGATGGAATATATGAACCCTTTATAAACCTGGAGCTCTGCATAATATAATCCAGATAACTAGTAATTACAGATCAGAAATAACTGCTTTACAAGAAATAAGATGGCCAGGAAATGGCATTTTAAAATCAGAGAACTCTACAATCTTCTATAGCGGAACAAAAAATCAAAAACATGAAAATGGAGTTGGTTTTATCATAAAAAATTCAATGATAAATTTGGTTAAAAAGTTCGAACCAATCAATGATAGAATCTGCTACTTGTGAATCTCGGGAAAAATTCTGGATGTCGTGTTTATCGATTGCTATCAAAACGGAGTCGGCTGAAAGCAACACAAAAGTTGACTTTTATCACTCACTAGAAGGAACTTTTGACAAACTTTTCACGAATTGTATAACGATCATGGGCGAAGACCTAAATACCCAAGTCGTTCGGGAAGAGGTTTTTCAAAGCACAGTGGAAAAGGAAAGTCTACACCTAGAAAATAATAGTTATGGAATAAGATTAATTTGCTTCACTACATCAAAAGACCTAAGAATTAGCAGCACCCAGTTCCAACGGAAAGAAATTTACAAACATATCTGGACCTCCCCAGGTAGAAGGTTTAAAAGCCAAATCGGTCATATATTAATTAATGGAAGACATAAAACTGTATAACACAAGTAAGAAGCTGTCGGGGTGCTGATGGGGACACGGATCACTATATTGTGACAGCATGTTTTAAAGTAAAACTATCAAGAATATGGAATAAAAGAATAAAAAGCAAGCCAAAACTGGATACAGAAAAACTCAGAGACCCTGAAACTAGAAGAAATTTCCAAATACTAACAAGTAACCTACTAAGTAATGAGCCTAGTAGCTTAAGCAAAAATATAAAAAACGAATGTAAAGAAATTAAAGAAACAGTTAATAAGGCCGTGGAAATCTTTAAGGATAACACTCGATAACCAAAGAATTCATGGTTCAATAACATATACAAGGATGCAATTAAAAAAAGAAGCGAAGCCAGAATTAAAGCTATACAAAATCCAACACCAGAAAACCATGAAGAATTTTTAACACTTAGGAACCGAACTAATAAAATTATTAGAGAAGAGAAAAGCCGAAAATGAATTTGTAAGTAGCATTGTGGAACATAGGCTAAACCCAAGAAGGTTCTTCGAAAAATGTAATTCTATAAAGTAAGGTTTTAATGCTCAACTTACTATACTGAGAGATGATTATGGACACCTTATTACGGATGAAGCGAATATTGTAAAGAAGTTTCGGACTCACTTTAAAGATCTCTTAAATATAAATCAAAACAATAATGCTTCAGAAGAGGATGACACGCTCCGCTATACAGTACAACCAGAGATCACTTAACTAGTTGAAGAAGAGATTAAACAAATTATAAAAATGTTAAAGAATAATAAGGCCCCTGGTGAAGATAACATAAATGCTGAACTAATTTAAATATCGACCCCAAAAATGCTCTCGAAAATATATATTCTAATCAATGAAATCTGGAAAAAAGGACAAATCTCTCATGATTGGAAAACGGCAATAATTTGCCCAATTTATAAGAAAGGGGATTTAATGAATATAAAAAACTACAGAGGGATAGTGCTATAAAATACTTGTTATAAAATTTTATCTACTGCAATTTTACACAGACTGGAAATATACTCCAAAGACATAATAGGAAAATATCAAACTGGATTTATGAAAGGGAAATCTACCATAGTCCACATATTTACAATTAGACAAGCACTAGAAAAGTATTATGAATTCGGAAAAGAAATGCACTTATGTTTTGTTGACTTTAGCCAAGCTTACGACAGTATCAATAGAAACAAATTATGGAGAACCTTAGAAGAATTTGAAATATCTATAAAATTAATTCAATTAATAAAATAATGTAATTCTAACTGTGAACTACTACTGAACTGTGTACTGCTGTACTAATAATGATAATCTATTTGCCTATCTCAGAAATATTTAGATATTTATTAACCTGGACATTTTTTTTTTTTTACAATATTTAATCAAATCGTTGAACGCCGGGGTCCATAATCATTTAAGAATGAATATAACAAAAAGGTATAAAAATTACCCGGCACACGAAATCGTATGTCAACATTTGCTCACGATGAATTTCACAAGTCTACAGTGCTGGACGACGACAATGAATTAAAGCATGTTATTCACAATCACCACTGAAATAAGGGGTGGACTGACCTAGCGGGACAAATCCCGGTGGCCCGTTACAATAATAGATTAAATGGCCCGATAATATTTTAGAGATTAAAAATATAGTATTACGATATTGGGGAACCTAGTGAAGTTATGAAAAAAAATCTAATTATGTAAAAAAGGAATTACTTTTAGAGTTAATTTTAATATATAGGTATTATATTAAAATGTGTACACAGTATCTATAAAAAAAAAAAATTTCTTTTATATTATGTGTAATTTTATATATCTACATAAAAAGTTGAAAATATTTTTTTAAATAATAAAAGTTTTTTATCATTATTATTATTTTCCATATTTATGAATAGGGGTCGGAAGTTGTTGCATTTGCATGTTTTTTTGCACCATTTATTGCTAAGCGAGTTAGAAATTCATCCGAAGACACTACGAAATACATATCAAAAGTTTTTAGTGCATATTTTTGCATACTTAGTGATTTTGGAGCATATATCTTGATTTTACATTTTTTAGAACATATTTTATGATTTTTGAAGATTCAGTATGAAAATTCGAAAAAATAAAAAAATAAATACATTCATATTGAGAGAATTTTCTTGATATTCTTGTATCATATTTTTCAAATTTCCATTTGACATTAAAAACAGTGTTTTTCCCCTATTGGTTATTATAATATATATTTATAAATTATAACTACAGCTAGTTTTATCTAAAATAAAGTATTATACAAATATCAAATAGGAACACCTGTTATCAAAATACGATGACTTTCTATTAATACTTTTCTAGGAAAATAACTCAATGATTATTGAACATTCTACAAGTGCATTTTTTTATTCAAGAAACATTTTTAATGCTATTTTATTATTATTATTATTTTAAATTATGATTAAAAATTAAAAATCAGAATTATTTTTATACTTTGATTTTTCTATATTTATAATTTTATAAAATATTTGTGCAAATGAAAATGTTGTGTACAAAAATAAAATATATGTGCATATTTTTAGAGCATATTTGTACTTTTTTAAGCGCATAAGTGCATGCATATTTAGTACTTCTTAAGTGCACTAAGTTCCGAGCCCTATTGATGAACAAATCCTTGTTCTCCTTTTAATTTTTGGCCTGGCGAAAAAAAATTCCCGTCCTGAAATATTAACCCAGTCCGTCCCTCATTAAAATAATAATGAATAATTTAAATATTGTACATTTTACGCGTATCGTAAGTTATTCAATTTGATTTGTTTTTAGTAATTTGTATATTTTTTCTTTTATTATATGACTTATGTATCTCTATGTATATAAAAAACTTGTAATGCAAAGTGCCGAGAGAAAAATCGTTGATCATTCACATTAAGAATAATTATATAATTAATTATTATACTTTATGAAGTATTTATTAAATAAAATTTTTTATTACTAATAAGTACTAATAAGTAAATTTACCTTTCAAAATTTCATAAAATTCTTGTTTTTCTATTGGTATATAATCATAGTAATGTAAAAAGGGGAGGTTAGTAAAGTGAGTTACTGCCATAATTTGTTGTGCATGTTGATTTGTACGAAGCTTTTCTCACGTTTTTTAAATATTTTAAGTACC